AATGCGGCAAATTGCATGGCACTCTTCAAGACCATCATCATTGACCGCGTGTACGGAAACAAGGTCATACCGCCAAGAATCCGCATCATCTCTTGCTGTAACCCTTACAGGATCCGGAAGACGAACGAGCTGGAACAGGTTGCCCTCGTCTTCCAGCACCAGGCCACAAACAATACCACTGCCGTGCTCGACCCAATGAAAAGTTTGGTATACCGAGTGCACCCATTGCCAGAGAGCTTAATTGACGTCGTAAGTGATTTTGGCGCACTCTCCGAAAGATCGGAGGAGCTGTACATTAATTCCATAATTCGCAAAGAGCTTCGCAGGGTGGACCAGCTTAACCCAGCAGATGCGCAGGAGCCGAATGAGTTCGACACTTTCCTGGACGCTTTCCGGGATCTGCTCTGCCAGTCCCAGTCGTTCGTTCGCGAGGTCAACGGAGGAGAACGCAGCGTGGTGTCGATGCGGGACATTGCGCGTGCCGCGCGTGTCTTCAAGTGGTTTTTGACACAGTATTCAGGGCGCTTCGCGGTCAGTGCTCCCCGCCAAAATGCGGGTGTCCTGCTGATTTACAGGCGTTGCCGTGGTGGGAGCTTGCCAGACAGAGGGAAGGCGGGCCCGACATAGCCGAAGCCGGGCAGCGAATCAGCCCAAAGCGTTCCCAAGGCGGCCCGCATCGTGTCCGGCGTACTGCCCCAAGACGTCGGAGTAATCAAAGGCGACCCCGAAGAAGCAAAAAACAGCAGCGCAAAAAGTACCCTGAGCGGCCGCAAGGGGGCGCCGAGAGGCGCGACCCGTCGGAGCGGCAGGCGGACTCGGCCGCGTTGGGTTGAGGCAGGTACATGCTCGGAAGATGGCTCTGCTATGCAGGCTGGGTGGAAGGGGGAGCGGGTTCTCCCGGAGGCCTTCCTCGCTGCCTTTGCCACAGGATGGCCCCATATGGTTTCAAGATGGTCTCTGGACGGCCTCGGGTGGCCAAGGTGGCGCAGGGCAGCCCGGCCCCGCGATGCCGCGCGCTCGGGGCCTCGGGGAGCGGCCAAGCGCCCAGGGCGCGAGGGCCAGGGCATCCGGTGCGACGCCCTGCCTGGGAGGCCCGCCCTGCACCCCACCTTAAGCCAAGGGCACAAAAAACGCCCCTGCCCTGGTCTGCGAGGCGCTGTGCGCGGAAACTCCTGTGGGCCGACAGGGTAAACCCTGCGTGATGTGCCGCGTCCTGGCGGCTCTAGACTTTGGGGGTTCCCAGGAGGTTTACAGACCACGCACTTGTAACCCAGGGTAGGGTCGTTTTTTCCTCCCTCAATTCAGGGCGCGCTGCCGGCCTGGGCGAGGGCCCGATACACTGGTAGACGGCCGTTTCGCTTGCGCTCGGCCCTGCAGTGCCCAGGGACGCCACGTGCGCATCCCACGCGTGGCCTCCAGGAGCTCCACATGCCATGGGCGTGTGCCGAAGGGGCCAGTGGCGGGATTCGCATGGCGGCCTCGGGCCATGTCGGCACACCACTCACGAGGATCGCGGCCCCATCGGAGCTCCACCGAAGGGGCCAGTGGCAGGGTTAGCATGGCGGCCTCGGGCCATTTCGGCACACCCGTCACGAGGATCGCGGCCCCATAGTTGTGCTGCTCCAATATCCGCGCCCCGGCGTCGTACTCCGCCTTGTCGACGTGCAACGCCACCCATCCTCCCTCATGGCTCTCAGAGCCCTCTCCTGCTTCTGCTCCTCGGTCAGAGGGACGCCGTCCTCGTCGTCACAACTGCATATGGTTGGGTCCTTCGCCAGGCTATTAAAAAAAAAAAAATCGCCCAGAATCCGCCTGTAGGGGGACATGTGACATGCCCGACCTAAGCCGAGCAGCAGCCCTTCGTACAGGCACTGCTTCGGGAGTGGATTTTTAGATGAGCCCAGCGCGACCCCAATCACGGGGTGTCTTCCTTCCTCCCAAAGCAACTCAAGACAGCTCCGCACAATGCAGTGCAAAGCATTGTTTGGCTCTGCTTGGCATTGCCTCGTGTTTTTTGGCACTGCTTGGTGTTGTCTTCCATTGTTTGGGATCGGTGCTTGCCATTGTTTGGCGTTGGCAGACATCCTTTTGTATTGGTTTGTGTTGCTTGGCGTTGCTTGGCATTGGCTGGCATTGCTTGGCGTTGCTGGGCAAGTCTTGGAATTGTGTTGCATTGCTGCGCGTTGCTTGGTTCCGATTTGCATTGATATAGGTTGCTTTGCGTTGTTGGGTATTTATTGGAATTGCTTGGCATTGCTGAGCGTTCCTTGGCAATGCTTGGCATTGTTGTTCTTCGTCTGGCATGGACTAGAATTCTTTGGCATTGTGTTGTATGTGATTTGCATTGCTTGACAGAGCTTGGCATTGTGTGTTCGTTGTTTGGCATTGCTTGGAGTCGTTGTTTGGAATCGTTGTTTGGCATGTCTTGGCAGTGCCTGGCGTTGCCTGACGTCGCTTGGCGTTGCTTGGCAGCGCTTTGCATTGCTCGGCATTGTTCGGTATTGCTCAGCACTGCTTGGCGTTGCTAGGGGTTGTTTGGCACTGCTTCCTTGGAGTCGTTGCCTGCATCCGTTGCTGGACATTTCTTGGCACCGTTGGGCAGATCACCATCCTCAGAGAGGCCACGGCCTCACCGCGCCAGCCGCCTAGTCGGCCCGTCCCCCCTGGGGGCGTCTCGGGCGTCCGTCCGTCCGTCCGTCCGTCCGCCCGACATGGCCTCGCGTTGCTTGGCATTGCCTTGCATGGCATTGGCTTGCATTGCGTGGCCTTGCGTGGCACTGCGTGGCATTGCTTGGCGTTGGTTTGCTTTGATCGGCGTTGCTTGGAGTTTCTTGGCATTGACTGGCAGCTTCTCTGCATTGCTTGGAACCTTTGCTTGGAGTTGTTGCTTGGCATAGTTCGGCGTTAGTTGGCATTGCTTGCCATCTCTTGGCATTGCCGCGCATTGCTTTGCATTGCTCCGTGTTGCTTCACACTGCTTGGTGTTGTTAGCATTGCTTGGAGCCGTTAGAATCCTTTCTAGGCAGTGCTTTGCATTGCTTGGCGTTGCATGGGATTGCCTGGCAGTGCATGGCAGTTTAGGCGCATTGCTCGGCATTGACAGACCTCGCTTTGCATTCTGTCGCGCTGCCTTGCGTTACCTAACATGGCTTGGCATTTCTCGGCGTTGTCTCGCATTTCTTCGTACTGCTTGGCAGTGCTCGGCGCAGCTCGGCATTGCTGGACACTGCTCGGCACTGCCTGGCACTGCACGGGCACCCCCGGGCAACCCCGAGGACCGCCGAGGGCCGCCTCTGTCGGAAGGCTCTTGCGTCCATCGTCTCCTTGCAAGAGCAAGGAAAGGTCCCTCAGGGAAAGCCTACGTCTCAGCTTAGCCTCGCTCGGATGTTTTTGTTTCTACCGGAAGGACCATCGAGGAGCATATCGGGTCATCTTGCGAAAAGATACACGCACGAAACCGAAACATGCACGGGGAAGGGTCGTCCGAGCGATGGCGAGTCTGGAGAAAGCCATGAGGCCGCGACTGTTCACAGGCGTTTGACGTTCCAGGGGCATCTGCAAAGCATCCTTGGAGTGCTCTTGAAAGTTTCTCTTGGAGGGCACCTGGCTTGTGTTGTCGGGCAGGATGAGAGGTAATATTGCCGTCTGCAGAGCCTCGCGACCGATCGAGGAGCTTCTTGCAGGCATCGTGCGTTGCTTCGGTGCTGCCTTAAATCGAAGAAGAAAAAATGGCATACACATAAACTATTGGCGATCCGCGCGGACTTCTTGGATCCGCGCTGGGCCCCTCCGGCAGCGCCTCTGGCGCTGCCCCTGGCGCGCTCCGGGGGTCCAGCGCAGATCCAAGAAGTCCGCACAGAGCGCGAAAAGTTTATATTCCTGCCGTTTTTCTTATTCGATTGCAACGTCTCGAGGCAGTCTAGGACTGTCGCGGGAGGATGCTGATCTCAGGTCGGGCCTGTCCCTCTACAGGGGGATTGTGGACGAAAAGTGACAATTACCTTGGCGACGTACCCAACCCTTGCGCAATGTGGGGCATAAATGCATCAGGATTGCTACAACGGGGGCGATGACGTAACATGGGCGCATTTGATTTTGCGAGCAGCAATCGGAAGGCTCGCAGGCCCCCGATCAAGATATGAGGGCTACGTAGTAACAAATCACCCCCGTTGGCTGTGCCATGCGCCCGCTGCACCCAACGTATCCCACCGCAGCTCTTGAGAGCCGCCGCGGGATACGTGTAGGCGCAACGTTATGGCTATCGCCCGGCAGATGGTCTGTTTCACAGATCACTTCCGTTGGCTGTGCCATGTACCCGTTGCGCCTAACGTATCCCAAAGCAGCTCTCCAGAGCCCCCCAAGGACGGCGAGGTCTCGCTCAGGTCCCCGCGGTGCCTCAGTCCGCAGGACCCACCAGCAGCCCTCGAAAGTGGCGACAGTGTCGCAGTTTGCAGCCCCCCCAGGGACGGCGAGGTCTCGCTCAGGTCCCCGCGGTGGTTCAGTCCGCTGGACCCGACCGCAGCCCTCGAAAGTGGCGACAGTGTCGCAGATCGCAGCCCCCCACCAGGGACGGCGAGGTCTCGGTCAGGTCCCCGCGGTGCCTCACTCCGCTCCGCTGGACCCCACAGCAGCCCTCGAAAGTGGCGACAGAGTCGCAGATCGCAGCCCCCCAGGGACGGCGAGGTCTCGCTCAGGTCCCCGCGGTGCCTCATTCCGCTGGATCCACCAGCAACCCTCGAAAGTGGCGACAGCGTCGCAGATCGCAGCCCCCCAGGGACGGCGAGGTCCCGCTCAGGTCCCCGCGGTGCCGCACTCCGCTGGACCCACGAGCAGCCCTTCGGAAGTGGCGACAGCGTCGCAGATCGCAGCCCCCCAGGGACGGCGAGGTCCCGCTCAGGTCCCCGCGGTGCCGCACTCCGCTGGACCCACCAGCAGCCTTCGAAAGTGGCGACAGCGTCGCAGATCGCAGCCCCCCAGGGACGGCGAGGTCTCGCTCAGGTCCCCGCGGTGCCTCACTCCGCTGGCCCAACAGCAGCCCTCGACGGTGGCGACAGTGTCGCAGATCACAGCCCCCCAGGGACGGCGAGGTCTCGCTCAGGTCCCCGCGGTGCCTCACACCGCTGGACCCAACAGCAGCCCTCGAAAGTGGCGACAGCGTCGCAGATCGCAGACCCCCCCAGTGCCTCAGTCCGCTGGGCCCACGAGCAGCCCTTCGAAAGTGGCGACAGCGTCGCAGATCGCAGCCCCCCAGGGACGGCGAGGTCCCGCTCAGGTCCCCGCAGTGCCTCACTCCGCTGGATCCACCAGCAACCCTCGAAAGTGGCGACAGCGTCGCAGATCGCAGCCCCCCAGGGACGGCGAGGTCTCGCTCAGGTCCCCGCGGTGCCTCACTCCGCAGGACCCACCAGCACCCCTCGAAAGTGGCGACAGCGTCACAGATCGCAGCCCCCACGGACGGCGAGGTCCCGCTCAGGTCCCCGCGGCGCCTCAGTCCGCTGGACCCACCAGCAGCCCTCGAAAGTGGCGACAGAGTCGCAGATCGCAGCCCCCCAGGGACGGCGAGGTCTCGCTCAGTCCCTGCGGTGCCTCAGTCCGCTGGACCCACCAACAGCCCTCGAAAGTGGCGATTGTGTCACAGGTCGCAGCCCCTTGGCAAGATGCACACACAAGAGGTACAGCAGCCAGGATGCACACACACACACGCACACACGCACACACGCACGCACGCACGCACGCACGCACGCACGCACGCACGCACGCACGCACGCACGCACGCACGCACGCACGCACGCACGCACACACACACACACACACACACACACACACACACACACACACACACACACACACACACACACACACACACACACACACACACACACACACACACACACACACACACACACACACACGAGGTACACGCAAGACAAGAGGAGACAAGAGGAACGCGAGAGGCGAGAGGCGGGAGGACTGGAGACCGCAGTGCTTTATTCAAAACGAATACCCAACCAAGGAAGGTTGGGACAAAGAAGGGAGGCGAAAAGGTGGAGGGAGGGAGGCCCCGTGCGCGTTCCGCATCGCGCGGGCTCCGCCGCGCTTTTCCGTTCTCTCGTTCGCACTGACGCAGTAACAAATCACCCCCGTTGGTTGTGCCATGCGCCCGTTGCACCCAACGTATCTCGCAGCAGCTCTTGAGACCCCCCGCGGGATACGTGTAGGCGCAACGTCATGGCCATCGCCCGGCAGATGGTTTGTTTCACAAATCACCTCCGTTGGCTGTGCCATATGCCCGTTGCGCCTAACGTATCCCACAGCAGCTCTCCAGAGCCCCCCAGGGACGGCGAGGTCTCGCTCAGGTCCCCGCGGTGCCTCATTCCGCTGGACCCACCAGCAGCCCTCGAAACTGGCGACAGCGCCGCAGATCGCAACCCCTCCAGGGCCGGCGAGGTATCGCTCAGGTCCCCGCGGTGCCTCACTCCGCTGGACCCACCAGCAGCCCTCGAAAGTGGCGACAGAGTCGCAGATCGCAACCCCCCAGGGACGGCCAGGTCCCGCTCAGGTCCCCGCGGTGCCTCACTCCGCTGGACCCACGAGCAGCCCTCGAAAGTGGCGACAGCGTCGCAGATCACAGCCCCCCAGGGACGGCGAGGTCTCGCTATGGTCCCCGCGGTGCCTCAGTCTGCAGGACCCAACAGCAACCCTCGAAAGTGGCGACAGTGTCGCAGATCGCAGCCCCCCAGGGACGGCGAGGTCTCGCTCAGGTCCCCGCGGCGCCTCACCCCGCAGGACCCACCAGCAGCCCTCGAAAGTGGCGACGGTGTCGCAGATCGCAGCCCCCCAGGGACGGCGAGGTCCCGCTCAGGCCCCCGCGGTGCCTCACTCCGCAGGACAGCCCTCGAAAGGGGCGACGTTGTCGCAGATCGCAGGCCCCCCAGGGACGGCGAGGTCTCGCTCTGGTCCCCGCGGTGCCTCACTCCGCAGGACCCACCAGCACCCCTCGAAAGTGGCGACGGCGTCACATATCGCAGCCCCCCAGGGACGGCGAGGTCCCGCTCAGGTCCCGGCGGTGCCTCACTCCGCTGGACCCAACAGCAGCCCTCGAAAGTGGCGACAGTGTCGCAGATCGCAGCCCCCCAGGGACGGCGAGGTCCCGCTCAGGTCCCCGCGGTGCCTCACCCCGCTTGACCCACCAACAGCCCTCGAAAGTGGCGACAGTGTCGCAGATCACAGCCCCCCCAGGGACGGCGAGGTCCCGCTCAGGTCCCCGCGGTGCCTCAGTCCGCAGGACCCACCAGCAGCCCTCGAGAGTGGCGACGGTGTCGCAGATCGCACCCCCCCCAGGGACGGCCGGGTCCCACTCAGGTCCCCGCGCCTCACTCCGCTGGACCCACCAGCAGCCCTCGAAAGTGGCGATCGCATATCGCAGCCCCCCAGGGATCGCGAGGTCTAATGCGTATCCGCGGTGGGTACCCTCTCTGCTGGCTTCCCCAGCAGCCCTCGAAAGTGGCGACAGTGTGGCAGATCGCAGCCCCCCCAGGGGTGGAGAGGTCTAATTCGGATCCGCGGTGGGTACCATCTTTGCTGGCATCACCACCAGCCCTCGAAAGTGGCGACAGCTGGAGGCGGGAGGAGAAGGGCGCGACCACAGTGCTCTACTCAGAACGAATACCCAACCAAGGAGGGTTGGGATTTAATCAGCAAATGTCAAAAAGGCCAAACAAAAGATTCGACACATCGTTCCCGGACTATGGTTCGACTATTTTTGAGTACTCCTCCTGTAGAGGGACAGGCCCGACTCAATACTGGTCCATCGGTCAATCGCACCCTTGGAAGGTGGGTGTGTTCACTGCCGCGGGGGAGTAACAGGGGAGGGGGGGGGGCAGGGCAGGGCATGGGCAGTGTGTCATCGCACGGGTCGTGGAGGAGATTGGAGCGCTTGCCAAAGGCGCGAGCATATTGAGTAGGGCATGTCCCTCTGCAGGAGGAGTATTCAAAGATAGTCAAACAATAGTCTGGGGCGATCTTTCCAGTATTTCTGACCATGTTTGAACTTTTGTTTACTATGCTTCATTTGTCCTCCAAGAATCCGACTGTAGGAGGACATGCCCGACCTAACACGAGCACTGATTTGCAGCCCCCGTGGATCCAACATGCCGTTTGCCCTCTGGGTTTGCGAATTTTAGATTGAGGGGTGTAGAGAACATCGCAGTCACGATTGACGACGACGGGGTCATGAGTCTCCCCCTCACTCCCGACACGAAGCCTCACCTTCGCAACGCTGTTATTCTCACTTTGGGATACTGTTACCATGCAAGGCTGAATCGTGACGAGCGTTGGGTATACCGCAAAAGAATCTGCACCACGTGGAAGAAGATGCTGACCGACAGGCCGAGCGTGCAATGGCTGAATTTGGAGAATGCGAATGATCTCGACTCAATGCTGATAGAGACGCAGCTTCAGTTCGTGTCAGAGATGGACCTCGGTGAGGGTATCGCCCTGAATGAGGCACTCCGAGAGAACCTGTTCATGCTGCTGGTGAGCATCATGAACCAGATCCCGATACTGCTCATCGGGAAGCCCGGCTGCTCCAAGAGCCTCGCCATGGGAGTGCTCCAGCAGAACTTGATCGGCGAGGTGTCCAACAAGAAGATATTCAAGACCATGCCGTCGGTGGACGTGTTCGCCTACCAGTGCTCTCCCCTGTCCACGCCGGAGGCCATCCTCAGCGCCTTCCGCTCGGCCCGGCAGTCCAACCTGAAGCACGAGAGCAACATCGTCTGCGTGCTGCTGGACGAGGTTCAGGAGGGAAAGAAACACACAGACACAATTAATCGTCGGTCCCCAGGAAAATATGGGAAAATATGGGAAGTGGGGGGGGAAGACAAAAACCCAGAAAATATAGGAAAATATGGGGAATCGTTTTATTTGTGTGTTTTTATTTGTGTGTCCCAGTTCCCCTTCAGAGGTGGGCCTGGCCGAGGAGAGCCCGCACCTGCCCCTGAAGGTGCTGCACCGGGAGCTCGAGGACCTGCAGGTCAGGGGCAACGATAGGGGGGGATAGGCATTAGGGGGGGAAACATCGACCTTGAATCGGCGACATACCGCCGACAGATCGGCGATATGCCCTCGATAGTGAATCCGTACGTTCCTGGGCAGCTTGGGACTATCGGGCCCCTATCGGCGATCAATGGATGATTGGGGGTCGATAGTCCCAAGCTGCCATTGATCGCCGATAGGGGCCCGATAGTCCCAAGCTGCCCAGGAACGTACGGATTCACTATCGAGGGCACATCGCCGATCCGTCGGCGGTATGTCGCCGATTCAAGGTCGATGTTTCCCCCCTATGCCAGTCCCCCCCTATCGTTGCCCCTTAGCAGGGCATCGCCTGCGTGGGCATCTCGAACTGGGCCCTGGACGCGGCCAAGATGAGCCGGTGCGTGACCCTGTACAGGCCTTAAGTCGGGCCTGTCCTTCCGCAGGAGGAACACTCAAAATAGTCAAGATGTAGTCTGGGATCATTTTTTGCGCATTGTTAGTCTATTGATGAAGATTCTTCTAGTGCAAAATTCGTCTGTAGGGGGACACGCCCGATTTAAGTACAGGCCGCCGCCGACGATCGAGGACCTGTGCGTCACCGCGGAGGGTATGGTGGCCTCGGCGAATCTCAAGGCGTACCTCAAGCCGTTGTCGACGGCGTTCCACATGATGTACAAGAATCAGAGTCCCACGCGAGGTGCGGGGGACTTCTGGGGCATGCGCGAGTTCTACAGCACGGTCCGCGTCATCAACATGGAGCTCAAGAAGCGGGCCTCCGAGGGCCTGGAGGCCGTGCTGGAGCCGCAGGTTCTGATGAAGACGGTGCAGCGCAATTTTGGTGGTCAGAGCGCCAGCGATCTTGACCAGTGCGTCGAGGAGTTCTTTGAGCGATGCAGCATGGACGAGAATGGCAGCGGGGTCAAGCGCTACACGATTCCAGAGCTCATTCAACAGAATCTGAAGGAGCCAGATGCTCGCCACCTCATGCTGCTCACCAAGAACAATGCTGCACTTCGGCTGCTCTTCGAGAGCAACTTAATCGACCACAGCACTGCCAAGGTCATGTTCGGCAGCACTTTCTCGAGCGATCAGTCCGACATCTTCGTGGCCATGAACTTGCAGAAGATCAAGGGCTTCATGCAGCAGCCGATCAGCTTGGTTCTGGTGCACTGTGACTCTCTGTACGAATCCCTTTACGACCTCCTGAACCAGCATTACATGGAGTTTGCTGGACAGAGGTACGTGAGGATTGCGCACGGGTCGAAAGCGAAGCAGTGCCCTATCCACCGGCTCTTCCGTGTCATCGTCGTCACGGAAATGTATGACGCATATTACCGTCTCCCCCCTCCATTGTTGAATCGTTTTGAGAAGCAGGTCTTTTTGCGAAAAGACCTTATGACAAAGGCTGACGAGGCGTTGCTTGCCAAGTTGACCAGGTTCTGGAACATGCTCTTGGGCGTTGTGAACGATTGGACGCACAGGGACAAGCCAGATGGCGACATCACCATGGGCCCCAAACGGGCCAGCCTCGCGTCAGAGGCAGAGCATGATCAGGACGGGGAAGGACCACGACATCGGCCCGTGGTGGGCTACCACCCAGAAATGCTGAATTCGCTCGTCGTCACGCTGAGGCGGCGCTTCGGGAGCGACAAGAGCATCGATCAACTGTTCGCCCTCGCCAAGGAGCTGCTGATGTGGGTGATGACCCCCGAGGCGGTCTGCATCGTCGCCTCGCGCTGCGACGGGCCCCAGCTGGAGATGAAGTTCGGCGTGGACCTGGTCTCGGAGTACTTCCACAAGCAGCGGCACTCTGACCTGCCCAGCTTCACCGAGGACCTGATCCAGAACAGGAGCAACTGGTGCGACGATTTGGGGGCACAGGTGATGATCACCACGTTCAGCCCCATCCGTGGTTATGTCAAGGGAGATCTCGAGCACTTCGTCAGCGACGGCGGGTCGATCACGGAGGTGTCGCTGCACGAGTTCTCTTCCAGCCAGGACATCGACAAGGCGGTGAATTCATTCTATGTTGGGGCAGCGGGCCAAGCCGAGGGTGGCAAACGCTTTTTGCTAATCCATGCGGATCCTGCAGCAGCTTCCCTCCGCGTGATCGAACATGCTCGCTTCGTGTGCGAGACGGAACGCGCGGGGGCGCACGCGAAGTTGACTGAGTCTGGCGCCGCTGGCTCCATGTTTGTGCTGCTCATAGTGCACTTGCAGCGCGGCACCGACGCGAAGTTCTCATTCGACTTTGACTCGCAGTGGCACTTCGCCTTCTTGGATTCCGTTGAGCCCTCCGTAGACTTGAACAGCATGCCGCTGCTGGGTGATATGCTGCAAATGCCCCTCATCCAGGTTGTCCAGGGGCTGAATTTCGAGAAACTGCTGCAGACGTGCTTCAGGGCCTCGCTGTCGCGTCTCATCTACCCGAAGAGCCGCAAGCCAGAGGACCTGCACCAGCAGATCCAGCTGATCCTCTCATTCCTGGCGGACGCAGAGTTTGTGAAGCTCGTCCGGGACTGGGTCCTGTGCATCCTGGAGACGACCCCGAAGAACTCTCAGAACGAGGAAGAAGGCTCGTTTGGCGCCGACACGACCTGGTTTGCCGCCATCGCGATGGCTGCCCACGAGCTGGCGATGGCCGGCACGTTCCGCGCCGCGCTGCACAACCGCGTGGCCGTGTTGGTCGGGTCGCTCCTCACGGTGCTGCTCGCGCACCTGGACCGCAACCAGGGGCTGGCCCTGCTGCAGGAGCCGCCGAAGCGCACGCTGTGGCTCAACATCCAGCTGCCTCCGGCCACTCCGCCACCGCGCCAGCCCAGCACTCTCTCGGGGGCGACCGTTCGCGGGGGCACGGGGGAGGCCCTGGCGTGTGGCACCTCGGGCCCTTCGAGGACCCCGGGGGCCCGTCGGCGGCAGGTGCCTCTGGGGGGCCCTCGTGGGGGCCTCTCGGGACCGCTCGGCAACGCCGAGGAGACTGCAGAGACCCTGCCAGACAGCACTCGGCATTCGTCGAGCAGCAAACAACAGCATACGCATGAACGGTGGGAGGTCCGCGCGGATTTCTCGGATCGGCGCCGGACCTCCCTCGTTGGCGCGCGGAGCGCCGATCCGAGAAACCTGTGCGGAGCGCCAAGAGTTTATGCCCATGCCGTTGCTCGTCCCTCTGCTCCTGCCACGCCCCGACGTGCTAAGGAGGCACGGTGGCGGATGTGCCGAGCCTCTCTGACATCCAACCTCAGCCTCCAGCTGAAGCACCAGGCAGTCCAGGCCCTGAGCGAGGACGCCAGCGCCCAGCACGAGGTCGGCACCGACGCGCAGACCGGAGCGAAGCCGTTTGTGAGCCGCTTCCCGGCCAGCTGGTTCGCCTCGAAGAGCATCGACGGCGAGCGGCACATGATGGAGTCTCTGCCGCCGGAGACCAGAGGAAGAAAAGGTATCGGGAGCCTTGAGACGGGGGTCAATGCAAACGGGGGTCAGCCAGAGCGCCAGATCCTGCAGGATCCTGCGAAGACTCCCTCTGGCTGACCCGGGTTAGCGAGCCGCTCGTGGCCGCGAGGCGGCCGCTCCTATTGGCTGACCCGGGTTTGCGAAGTTCTGCGTTTCAGTTGTTGTTTCTTGCATTGCAGTTTTTGGTTTCCTGCTGACCCGGGTCTGGATTGACCCGGGTCAGACGATCCCCGAAGGTACCGACGCAGTTGCCTTTCCTTCGTTTTCGGCCTTCTGTGGGCCTCCTGCGAGGCCCTCGTCGCCACCGCAGGATCCGCCTGAGAATCCTGGCCAGAGCGCACCCGGCGAGAGGTCCCGGGAGCAGCGGCATCGGTGCTTGTTGCTTCCCCCAGGAGAAGCAGCTGGCGGCATTGGAGGAGCAGTACAAGATCAGCATGCTACAGGAAGTCCCTCCTCCTCCCTCTTCCTCGTGGTGCTGTTCTGCACCGATTCCGTGGTGCATGTGTGTTGCTTCGTGTCTGAGTAGTCCATGTTTGTTTCATCGCGCCTGGCACGCTCGGGAAGGCTGCGAGCGCTCGGCAGCCAGACTTTAAACTAATGCGCTGGATCGTGCGTTCTCTGCTCATCTTAAGTCGGGCATGTCCCTCCACAAGAGGAGTATTAAAACATCGGAGGTGAGGGGGTGAGATCGAAGTGGAACGGAGAGCCCCCCTACCGGGAAATCGATTTCGGTTTCGTGTTCGTGCGTGCCGTGCGGGCGAGGCGAAGCTGCGTGGGCGGGCGAGAGAAAGTCTCCTGTGGCTGAGGCGCGGCCGGACCAAATGATTCCCTTCCGGGCGGCCGGGGCCCCGCGGTGTCCCGCCGGTGTCCCGATGGTGTCCCGTGTGGCTGAGGCGCGGCCGGACCAAATGATTCCTTTCCGGGCGGCCGGGGCCCCGCGGTGTCCCGCCAGTGTCCCGCTGGTGTCCCGTGTGGCTGAGGCGCGGCCGGACGAAATGATTCCCTTCCGGGCAACCGGGGGCCCGCGGTGTCCCGCCGGTGCCCCGTCGGTGTCCCGATTATGGTGATGATATTGATGATGATGATGATGATGATGATGGTGATGATGATGACGATGTTGATGTTTTGTTTTGATGATCGATAGTGAGATCGGTAGTGATATCGATTGTGAGATCGAACGTGAGATCGAATGTCAGATCGCTTGTGAGATCGATTGTGAGATCGATTGTGATACCGAATGTGAGATCGATAATGAGATCGATAGTGAGATCGATTGTGAGACCGAATGGGATATCGATTGTGAGATCGATTGTGATATCGATAGTGAGATCGATAGTGAGACCGAATGTGAGATCGATTGTGGAATCTATTGTGAGATCGATAGTCAGATCGATTGTGAGATCTATCGATTGAGTTAGTAGTGAGATCACTATCGGTAATGAAATCGGTAGTGATTTCGATAGTGAGATTGATGATGAGACCGAATGTGAGTTCGGTTGTGATATCGATAGTGAGATCGATAGTGAGATCGATAATGAGATCGAAAGTGAGTTCGATAGAGAGATCGACAGTAAGGCCGAATGCGAGATCGATTGTGAGATCGATTGTGAGATCGATAGTGAGATCGATAGTGAGACCGAATGTGAGATCGATAGTGAGATCGATAGTGAGTTTGATAGTGTGATCGATCGTCAGATCGAATGCGAGATCGATTGTGATATCGATTGTGAGATCATCAGCGAGACCGATTGTGAGATCGATTGTGGGATCGATTGTGAGATTGATTGTGAGATCGATAGTCAGATCGATTGTGAGATCTATCGATTGAGATCGATTGTGAGATCGGTAGTGAGTTCGATAGTGAGATCAATCGAGTGCGACGTTGGTCCCTCCCCCCCCTCACCTCCTTATCACCCGAAGGGTGGTCTATGCGGTAGTAAAGAATAGTCTGGGGACGATGATCGTATTATTTCTGACCATGTCCGAACATGTGTTGATTATGTTTCTTCCAAAATCCGCCAATAGGACGATGTGCCCGATCTAATGCTCATCCCCTTCCCCCCATCTCCAAGAAAACGTGCTGCAGGAAGTGGGCCTGGATCCCGTGCTACCGTCGGAGCTCCTGGACGACTACCTCCACGACTTCACTGCCATGCACGTGGACTGGACGGCACGCATCGACCGGAGCACGCAGACGCGCATCCTGTCAAAGACCCTCACACGGTTCATGAATCAGGTCTCGCCAGTGCAGCGCCAGGTCACGTCTATTCTAGAGGTCCATCAGGCGTTCTGGAGGCAGGAGAAGCAGGTGGATTATTTTATAAAGTTGTTGAATGCGGTTCCGGACGCCGTCCCTCAGGCAGAGCGTCTGATCGAGACGTCGGACCTCAGCACGTTGATCTTGAATATGCTCCTGCTCGTTCACGAGACACTGTCCAACGAGCTCCTCCAGGTCGACGAGAGCTTATTCACTCTCGCATGGGTCGAGGAGCGCGCGAGGGTGCTCGACAGAGACCTGAGGCAGCTCTCCAAGGAGGAGCTTCAGAGCATGGGCCGTAGCCTCTTCTACCGAGAGTGGCTACAGCGCAAGATGGTCGTGGCGAACCTGAGCAGGGACTACATGAGCTCCGTGGAGGGCGCGAGAGACAGCGCCCTGCTCAGAGAGCTGAAGACGGACAAGGATCGGGGGCGGCAAAGAGGGGGTGTGATGACAAGGGGGTGTGAATATCATGGCGTGGGCCATGATATTTTCCCAGATTTCATGGCGCCTCGTCTTATTTCATTACGTTCCTGGCCCCCCCTTGGGCCGCGCACATGCCGCCGGCCATGAATTGCGCCCCCCCTCTTGAACGCCCCCCTCTTGACCGCCCCCGGAAGGAGCCGCGCCTCGAGACGCTGTCGCTGATGTTCCAGCAGGTCGCGTGCGCTCTGAAGCTGCCGCTGGAGGTCGTGAAGAAGTTCCTGAAGCACCTGCCGGAGGGCAAGATACGGCATCCGCGGTCGCTTCTCGCCATCCTGACGCTCGCGCAGGACGTGGCCGGCTGCCCCCAGGGCCTGGAGGCCTGCGGCGCCTTCTGCGAGAGCTGGCTCCTCGACGTCTGCCTCCGCGACGCGGAGACCATCAGCGACATGGACGAGACGGCGCTGCGGCTGATCTGCGGGCTTGCGGCTGGCCTGCCGGTGGTCGTCGAGAAGAACAGCGTGGTCGGAGTCACATCTGGAAAGATCAGCGACTGGAGCGAGACTGCGGAGTCTGGGATCGCAGCGCTGCCAGGCACGGGCGGCGTGATTCCGCGGTCCTCGTGCCTCAACCTGGCGCTCCTTCGCAAGCTGCTCGTCACCTCGAGGCACGACGCGAGGCAGATTGCCGTCAGGACGATCGAGGAGCTCTTGCTGGAGGTCAGCAGGCGCGAGGGCCACAACGACACCACGTTCGCCACGAGGTACACTGTGCTCATGGAGGAGGATTTTGAGAGCAAGATGAAGGATCGGCGGCACGTCGAGGGGGGGAAGTGAGAGGGGGTAGGCCTTCTCAGGGATCGGCGGGGCTTCGCAGAAGCCGCCCGGGCTTCGAGAAGGAGTCTGCGTCTGCGGAGAAGGCTCGGAAAGCTTCTCTGAAGGCCAGATGCCGTCTGAGCCTTCGAAGAAGGCCCGCCCCCCCCTGCATTCCCTCGTGGGCGCGCCGCCGAAAGGACGCTTGCGAACCGCACAACTGGCCTGACATTTCCCTGCAGGCAGTCTTCAGCCCAGATAGATCGCGCTCTCCTGCCACCATGCTGGAGGAGGTGGGCAAGATCCGTTGGATGCTGCAGCGGTATGCCGACGTGCTGTGCCAGGACTCTGTCAACCATGCGGCGCACGACGCCTGTGCGGAGAAGGTGGACGGCCTACTCCAGACAGACGACGAACAGCTCGAGAAGGTATGCAGGTCGCTGCGCATGTTCCTACTGAAGTGCATCGAGCGGAGAAAAGGCGTCTCGTTTCTCCGTGCCCTGCTCGACGCGAGACCCTTGTCCGACACAGGCTGGGTCACCAAGTGGCGCACCAACCATGACATCGAGTTCGAGAAATTCATTGGTGCCGCTCTCGTTCCCAAGTGGAACCCATTCACTGGACAAGACGGAAGCCCAGAATATAACGAGGCCAAGGCCGCAGTTGTTGTAAGCATGTGGGGGTGGAGGAAGGGAGGATGAGGAGGAGGAGGAGGAGGAGGAGGAGGAGAAAGAGGAGGGGGAGGAGAAGGATGATGGGGGAAGATCGTGGGTGGAAGGTCGGAGAGGAGGTTGGTGAGAGGGGAGGAATGGCGGAAGGGGCGGATACCCATCCCAATGTAGCAGGCACGTCTCTTGGGCTCCCCATGTCCACGCTCAGATTGTAGGAAGTCTCCTGGCGAAACGCCGATTTGGGCCCAGTGGGCGAGCCTCTTGTCAGAGCCCCGACATCATCGCAATGTAGCAGGCGTAGCACTTGAGCACCCCAAGGGGGAACCGCCAGGGGGGTATATACCACGGGCCCGTTCGCGCGCAGGTCGTGGTGACGTCTCTGGCCAAAAGCCTGCTTGGGCCCAGAAGGGCGCGCCTTTCCCAGAACCCCGTGCTCGTCGCAGTGTTGCAGGCATGCCGCTTGGGCACCCCGGGGGGGAGCCGCCCCTGGAGCCGGGGTCGGCGCCCCGAGCCCCTCGACGCGCTCCCGCCCCGCGGAGTGCGCGACGACGCGCTGTCCGCTCGCAGGACACGGCGCGTCGCCGACCGGCGTCGAAGGCTGTGCGCCCGGGGGGAGGGCGTGGAGCAGCATCGGCAGCACCAGCGGGGCGGGGGGCAGCAGGGGCAGACGGGGAGGCCGGCGGCGGCGCGGGGAACGTCGGCGACGCGCGAAGAAGAAGAAGAAGAAGAAGAAGAAGAAAAAGTAGAAGAAGAAGAAGAATAATAATGTTAAGAAGCATAACAATACGAAGTATAACAAAAAATGCCAACAACAACAACAACAACATCAACCACAACAGCAACAGCAACAATAACAACAACAACAACAACAACAACAACAACAACAACAACAACAACAACAATCATTTTACCCGAACGCGTGGTGTTCTCCCCAGTGCCAGGGTTTTCATACGACACCAGGCAATACCCCCACTTCGTGGGGGGGCCTTACAAGCTCTACCAAATATCCAAACGACTCTTCGCGACCACCCAAACCCAGCTTCCCGCCCTATGACGTTGGGACACTTCACTTCGTGGCGTGCGGACGACCGTGGCTACTACACTGCGTGGGGTACACACCCACAGAACCCAATGGTTTTTGGAGATTTCGGCGTGCGCGCGCGAAGAAAAAACGAATGTGTCCCGCATGGTATTATTTGACAGGGATGATGGCCCTGGCAGGTGCGCAACCGTTGTCGCAGAAGTTCGAAAAAGTTGCTCGCAAAAGCCCGTTTGACAGAAATGTTTACAAAGTGTTGGGTTTCCTACGAATCCGCAAGAGCGCGCGGGATGAGATTTTGACATTTTTTTGTTGAAAAACCATTGGTTTTTTGATGTTTTATGTTGAAATCGCTCCGAACACTAAGCTTTTGGGAGGATTTCGTCTTGCGCGCGCGAATGTCCACTTTACCTTATTTTTGGCAAGGGATTCTTGAAGTTTGGTTATGTTAGAACAAGAAATGTCCACTTTAGCTTATTTTTTGCAAGGGAAAGCGGGCCGTAACAAAACAACCGGATCCGGACCAACCCGTTTTGCCTGAGACTTCCTCACGAAAATGATGAAAATGTGGCTGCGGCCTAGGCGCGGCGGGGGGGCCGTGCACCAGGGGTCCCAACATAATTATTCTTTAGAAGTAATAATAATTATAATGTTCACAATTACTAAGCACGTGGGACAACACCCCGTTCTCACCAGTGCCAGGGTATTTTTCATCCACGTTCATATATACAGGTGCTCGGTGGCGGCCCCGTACATGCAATACCCGGCCACTTTGATGTCGTGGCCTTCGGAAGCTCTACCAAATTTCCCAACGACTCTTCGCCACCACCCACACCCAGCTTCCCGCCCTATGACGTTCGGACACTTCACTTCGTGGCATGCGGACGACCGTGGCTACTATTCAGGGCCCGCGGCCGACGACGACGGCGTGCGCGCGCGAAGAAAAAACGAATGTGTCCCGCATGGTATTATTTGACAGGGATGATGGCCCTGGCAGGTGCGCAAACGTTGTTGCAGAAGTTCGAAAAAGTTGCTCGCAAAAGCCCGTTTGACAGAAATGCTTAAAAAGTGTTGGGTTTCCTACGAATCCGCAAGAGCGCGCGGGATGAAATTTTGACATTTTTTTTTGAAAAACCATGTTTGTTGATGTTTTATGTTAACAATCCTATAACGAAAACTAAGGTTTTGGAAGGATTTCGTCTTGCGTAGCGAATGTCCACTTTACCTTCATTTCTTGCATAGGGATTATTGAGTTTGGTTATGTTAGAAACAGAAAATGTCCCCTTTCAGCTTGTTTTTTGCAGGGAAAAACGAGCGTCAACACACAACCGGATCCGGACCAACCCGTTTTGCCTGAGACTTCCTCACGAAAATGATGAAAATGAGGCTGCGGCCTAGGCGCGGCGGGGGGGTCGTGCACCAGGGGTCCCAACAATAATTATTCTTTAGACGTAATAATGTTCAACAACAACAACAACAACAACAACAACAACAACAACAACAACAACAACAACAACAACAACAACAATTACTAGCACGTGGGGACACACCGTTCTCACCAGTGCCAGGGTTTTCATAGGAGGCGGGCAATACCCCCACTTTGTGGGGGTGCCGGTTCAAGCTCTACCAAATTTCCAAACGACTCTTCGCCACCACCCACACCCAGCTTCCCGCCCTATGACGTTCGGACACTTCACTTCGTGGCATGCGGACGACCGTGGCTACTATTCAGGCCCCGCGGCCGACGACGACGGCGTGCGCGCGCGAAGGAAAAACGAATGTGTCCCGCATGGTATTATTTGACAGGGATGATGGCCCTGGCAGGTGCGCAACCGTTGTTGCAGAAGTTCGAAAAAGTTGCTCGCAAAGCCCGTTTGACAGAAATGTTTAAAAAGTGTTGGGTTTCCTACGAATCCGCAAGAGCGCGCGGGATGAAATTTTGACATTTTTTTTTTTGAAAAACCATTGGTTTTTTGATGTTTTTATGTTAAAATCGCTACGAACACTAAGGTTTTGGAAGGATTTCGTCTTGCGCGCGCGAATGTCCACTTTACCTTATTTTTTGCAAGGGATTCTTGAAGTTTGGTTATGTTAGAACAAGAAATGTCACTTTAGCTTATTTTTTGCAAGGGAAAACCGATCGTAACAACACAACCGGATCCGGACTCCCCCGTTTTGCCTGAGACTTCCTCACGAAAATGATGAAAATGAGGCTGCGGCCTAGGCGCGGCGGGGGGGTCGTGCACCAGGGGCCCCAACAATAATTATTCTTAAGAAGAAATAATGTTCAACAACAACAACAGCAACAGCAACAGCAACAGCAACAAGCAAAGCAAAACGCCGTGGAGGAGGCCGCGGGGGGGGAGGCTGCCGGGAAGGGGGGCCCTGTCCCCGGGAGCCCCCTGGCCAGGCCTCTCCCCGCCCCGCGTGGCGGGCCCGTCGGAGGGCTCCCCGCGCGCGGGGAGGGGGGGGGGCGCCTTGTGGGGGCGGGGCGCTGGCAGGCCGCCCAGCCGGGCGGTATTGTTGGTGCCCCTGCCCCTCCTCCTCCTCCTCCTCCTCCTCCTCTCCTCCTCCTCCTCCTCCTCCTCCCCTTCCTCCTCTCCTCCTCTCCTCCTCCTCTCCTCCCCTCCATCCTCCTCTGCTTTCTCCTCCGCCTCCTCCTCCTCCTCCTCTCCTCCTCCTCCTCCTCCTCCTCCTCCTCCTCCTCCTCCTCCTCCTCCTCCTCGCGCGGCCCGGCCCTGGCGGGCGGCCTTGGCGGGCCTCCCGCAGGGCGGAGGAGGGCAACCTGGACGCCCCAGGCGCCCACGGATCGCCGGTCGGTCGGCGGTGCCCCCGATGGCCGGCCCTCTCGCCCAAGACCGTGCGGCTCGGAGGAGGAGGAGGAAGGAGGAGGAGGAGGATCGAGGAGGAGGAGGAGGAGGAGGAAGGAGGAGGAGGAGGAAGGAGGAGGAGGAGAAGGAGGAGGAGGATCGAGGAGGAGCAGGAGGAGGAGGAGGAGGAGGAGGAGCAGGATCGAGGAGGAGGAGGAGGAGGATCGAGGAGGAGGAGGGGAGAGAAGGAGGAGGAGGAGGGGGACGGAGGAGGAGGAGGAGGAGGATCGAGGATCTGGACAATGCTGGGTACAATGCCCAAGAGCAGTTCCTGTTCATTTTGAACAGGATTCGCTATTCGAGACAGAAGGCCGCCTGCCCAACAGCGGCCGCTGTTGATTTGGGGCAACATTTGTTGTTGGGCATTGTACCCATTTTTTCCGTACCCATTTCGGGCGTCCAAAGGCAAGGAAAGGGAGGAGCCCTGTACCGCGAGGATGCAGCCACGTCGGTCTGAAGTCGGGCGCGTCTTTCTAGAGGGAGAACCGTAAAACTGATTCAGAAAATAGTCAGGGGACGTCTTTCTTTTGTTCTACTCTGTCTCGCCATTCTTTTAATATTATTGTTCCTATTTTTATTGTTCGTCCGAAATCCGCCTGTAGGGGGACACGCCCGACCTAACGGTAGTCTTGCCCTTCTCCCGGGATCTGGGGATCCGGCAGGGAGCCTGCAGGCGCGGCCACACGCCGGCTCTCCGGCCAGAGGAGAAATCATTCCGGCGACCTCTTCCAGCGCACGGCGAGACGACGGAAGCCACCGGGAGGGGCGCAGCGAGGAAGGCTCGGGGCTCAAGGGGACGGGGGCCAGTGCAAGCGGAGGTCAGCCAGAGCGCGCCCGATCTTGCAGTATCCTGCAGGGCCAGGGTCGCACTGACCCGGATCTGGGCGCAGGATCCTGCAGGATCTTGCAGGATCCTTCGCACTGACCCAGGTCTGGGCGCAGGATCTTGCAGGATTCTGCAAGGCTTGACTGACCCGGGTCTGGATTGACCCGGGTCAGAAGATCCCCGAAAGACGTGCACCCAGAAGGTAATCGGTTTTTTAATGCATTGTTCTGCCGATCGGCGCGGGCCCTCGCACCCCCCTCCCCCCCCCCTCCCCATGGAGTAGACCTTGGTTGTTTCGGCCGTCTGTGTCGAGCAGGGGGGGCCACCCCCAGAGGACGCACGGTCCAGACCAGAACCCACCCCCCCTCCCCCCCCCCTCCCGCCCAATGTCATGTCGAAGTGCCGACTAAGAAAACGCTCGCAAGACGATCGAGCCCCGAACAGCAATCTGAACATGTCCGTTGCCTCGCACATGCCAGCCACGTACAGCAAGAAGAAAATGGGAAACTAGTAAGCCGCGTGTCGACACACTGGGCAAGAGCCGACACCCGCTTAGCCGTCGAAGCCCTCAAGTAATATCCACCTGTGATCGAAATCGAACAAAACAGGTTCCCCTCCCCAGGGTCGGGTGGCAACCCCGACGGCTGCTAAGCAGGACAGCGCGTTACAGGATCCACCACTCGCGCCAGCGCGCCGACAGAGCCGCGTGCAACGCCGAAACGCAACCGTCTCAGAGGAGAGAGAGAGAGAGAGAGAAAGAAAGAAAGAGAGTGAGAGAGAGAGAGAGAGAGAGAGAAAGAGAGAGAGAGAGGGGGGGCGATCTTCTTGCGAGGGGGCAGTGGTTCGCACCTATGAGGTGTGCCGTGCGCGCACGCGTCCTGGGCCGGAGCGCGCACATTTTGGGGGAGGAGGAGGATTAGGAGGAGGAGGGAGGAGGAGGAGGAGGAGGAGGAGGAGGAGGAGAGGAGGAGAGGAGGAGGAGGAAGAGGAGGAGGAGGAGGAGGAGGGAGGAGGAGGAGGAGGAGGAGGGAGGGGAGGAGGAGGAGAGAGGGGGATGAGGAGGAGGGAGTAGGAGGAGGAGGGGGAGAAGAGGGAGGGAGGAGGGAGGAGAGGAGAGGAGGAGGAGTAGGAGGAGGAGGAGGAGGCGAGGAGGGAGGAGAGGGCAGCATGAGGAGGAGGGAGGAGGAGAGGAGGAGGAGTAGGAGGAGGGAGAGGGGAGGAGGAGGAGAGAGGAGGAGGAGGAGGAGGAGGAGGAGGAGGGAGGAGGAGGAGGAGGAGAGGAAGGAGGAGGAGGAAGAGGAGACGGAGGAGGGGGGTGGAGGCACGCGGCGCAAGTCCGACCGATGGGTTAGATGCTGCGGCGCCGTCCTTCGCCGCACAAGCTCCGACAGGAATAGCAGGCAGATCAGGAAGGCGCTCGGCACTACTAGGCTCTCGAAGAGTGGTTCGAGCAGATACCTGACATCCTCCAGGCGTCCACGACGCAGGCAAAAGGCCGCACGAATGATGCTGAGAGGAAGACGAACTTGCAGAAGAACCCGCCTCTGCAACCCCATCGGCGGACGGAGAGATGAGATCAGCAAGGCGAAGCGCCTGCGCAGCACGTCCTCGATGCCAATCATGCTTGGCACGATCCGCCACCCCATGAAGTGAGGGGCATCACGAAACACCTCAGGATCCGGCCCCGCAGTCTTGCTGGCGGCAGAGCTCGCGAAATGCGACGTCATGCCGGCCCTGCGGCTGGTGGAGGCCGCGACCAAGACATCCGGTTGCCCCCAGTGTATTCGACGCGTGGGCTCCGGAGGTCTGGGCCGCCTCCCCGGGGCCGCGGTCTCGTCCCGGACAGTTCCCCGACGCTCCCGCGAGGCCCGGCGAGGGCCCTCGCGAGGGCCGCGAGCGGCCCCAGAGCCGCCCGCTCCGATCCCTGCTGGAGCGTCGGATCTTTGGGGGAAGCTGGAGATCGAGAGCCATAGCCTTCAGTCGGGCCTGTCCCGCCGCAGGAGGGACATTCCAGAATAGGCAGACACAGTCTGGGGGCCAGTTTGGCTCAAAGTCGCATGTCTTTTTTGCGTTTCTGAGCTTCTTCTGGGGGTATCCTTAGGTTTCGCCTGAGATCCCCCTGCAGGGGGACATGCCCGACCTGACCACAGCCCGTGCCCTCGACGCTGGCCGACCGGGGACGTGCACGGAGACCGAGTCGCGGCCGCAGCCGACGAGGCCCGGGCGACGAGGGCCCGCAGCCGCCCCTCGGGCGACGCCCCTCGCGAGCGAGCGCGGGCGCACCGTGCCCATAGCGAGTTGGGCCGCGCGAGGCGGCTCGCAGCCGGGCTCTCCCGGCTCACGCAGCTCTCGCCGGGGGGGGGAGGGAAGCCAAGAGTCCGGAGGGAAAAAAAACGCACAGATACAAGTAACCGTCGATTCCCAAGAACATAGGGGAAACTATGGGAAGTGGGGGGGGGAAGACAAACACCCAGAACATGTGGGAAAAGATGCGGGATCTTTTTTCTAATTTGTGTGCATCTATTCGTGTGTCCCAGGGCCCCTTCACAGATCGGGGAAACGTAAGACTCGCGTAATTAAGCCGGAACTCGGGTTCACCGACTTCTTTTGACGAGCGCGTCCTGGATTCTGACGGCCCCGTTTCCGTGGGATGCTTGCAGCGGGAGCCCGCGTCAAATTCCAGGTGGCGTCTCGTCGTTTTTATGATGGACCTCGTCAGGCCAACCCGCGTCCCCCGTACCCGAGTCTTACGTCTCCCGAAGGTCGGACACGCCCAAAAGGCTGGGGCGAGCGGTTGTGCCGGCCGCTCCGCCGGCCTCCGGGGCCCTCGCGTCGGGCCTCGCGGGTCGAGCGCCAGAAGCGACAGCCCGGGAGGCAGCACATATCGGCCCTGTGGGGAAGGGGTCCACGGCTTCGGGGGCCCAGGCATCGAGCAAACATTGGAGGAGGAGGAGGAGGAGGAGGAAGGAGGAGGAGGAGGATCGAGGAGGAGGATCGAGGAGGAGGAGAGGAGGTAGGAGGAGGAGGAGAAAGGAGGAGGAGGAGGAGGAGGAGGAGGAGGAGGAGGAGGAGGAGGAGGAGGAGGAGGAGGAGGAGGGGGGAGGAGGAGGAGGGGGGAGGAGCAGGAGGAGGATCGAGGATCTGGACAACGCTGGGTACAATGCCCAACAGCAGTTCCTGCTCATTTTGAGCAGGATTCGCTGTCCACGCCGCCGCGGCCTGTGTCCATTCGAGACAGGAGGCCGCCCGCCCAACAGCGGCCGCTGCTGGTTTGGGACAACATTTGTTGTTGGACATCATTATACCCATTCTTTCCGTACCCATTTCGGGCGTTCAAAGTCTGGGTGGGTCCTGAGGGAAGCGGGTCCTGAGGTTTTTCCCCGCCGTCGGCCTCCCGGGACTTCCCACGGGCACCTGGGATGGTGAGAAAACGACTCAGGATGAAGAGCTCGTCCTGGGGGAAGGCCCTGGGGTCCAGGACCCGTTTCCCTCAGGACTCGTTTCCCCCATACTAAAATCAGGAGGAGACAAAAACACACAGCCACAATGAATCGCCGACTCCCGGGAGAAAATATAGGAAAATATGGGAAGTGGGGGGTAGGACGAACACCCAGAAAATATGGAAACATGTTGGGAATCTTGGGGTTTGTGTGTATTTATTTGTGTCCCTGAGCTCCTTCATAAAACTCATCCAGCGACCGGAGACCGGACCAATGCCGAATGGGCTGTGGAAAAGCAGGCAGCGCGGCCTGGGCCAAAGTGGTGATACGAGCTCCAGGAGGAGGAGGAGCAGGAGGAGGAGGAGGAGGAGGAGGAGGAGGAGGAGCAGGCGCCAGTGTTACGCTGTGCTGCTGCGCCGGAGCCTGACCCGTGGACTTCCCCAGACGTCGTCGTCGTTATCGTCGTTATCGTCGTCGTCGTAGGAGGAGGAGGAGGAGGAGGACGACGACGACGAGGCGTCGGTCATGAGTTTGCCCGCAACCTTGGATCCTGACCCCTGGACGTCCATGGAAGTCCTTGGAGACCCCCTCATAAAGAATGCCCAGAGCGTCCGAAAACCTCGTCCATCGATCCTCGAGGGTCGAGTGCAGAACTTCGGAGACGCTTCATGAGGATAGGGGATTTGTGGCATCCCTACTCCTATCCCTCCCGTTGCCTCCCTTCTCCCCGTCCCCTGCCGGCAGGTTCGTGTCATGTCGACGCGGCGACGACGCTGGCGCGGGCGTTGAAGGCTGAACGCCGCCGGTGGTCCAGAATGGAACGATGCCGAACGATCTGCGAAAGCTGCGATCATTTAAGGTTGAACGATCCACGTGGTGTCTGAAACCAACGTTGACGCCATCGCAAGCTGAACCTGCCGTACCCTCCTCCATCCTTCCTCCCCCGCATCCTTTCCCCCCTCGGTTCCTCTCCTCCTCCTCTCTCGTAGGTTTCTCCTGGACCCCTCCCGTGGCTCACTTTAGAGTCGCCGCGGTCCCATTGTGGGCCGTGGAAGGGGGGATAGGATGGGCGCCCAAGGCCGCCATCTTCGAGATGATGAGCTCGACGTCGACAGCCAAGCTGGACCAGTTTGCGAAGTCCATCGCCTCAAAAGAGGGCATCCAGCAGAAGCGCAGCATAGGCGGCTTCCTGCTGGCGGTCTGCCAGGAGCTGGGCCTGCACTCTGCGCTGGAGACGGCAGACAGGCCCCCGCAGTGGAGGGGCCCCCTGAACGAGTGGCTCGCGACCACCAAGGCGCTGCCCGTCACCGACCAGGAGCGCATGCTGCTGCGCATCTTCGCAGGGGACGCGTCTGCCATTGCCCAGCTGCCCGAGGCTGACGGAGAATGAAGCGCTGCATCCACGGAGAGCTCCGGAGCTCCGCGCGCCTCCGGCGGCGGGGAGGGCGCCTCCCGCGCCGACCCGGCTTAGTCCGCGCGGAGCTCCGAAGATTTGCGCGGATGCCGCGTGGCCTTCGTCCGTGAGGACGACGGGGCGCCCCTGGGGCCGTTCGTGGTCTCCGGCGGGAGGAAGATGGACGACCTCCTCAAGTTCCGGCTGCTGGGCCACATTGCCAGCGTCTGCATCTCGGCGCCCAGCTCGTCCCTGCTGGCCTCGCTGCGCGAGATCATGCTCCGGCCGAAGAGTCTGATGCCCGACATGTTCCTCCCCTCGATGGACGAGGACATCAGGAACAGGGTGATGAAGGCACTGTTGGAGCGAGGTGAGAACATCTGGAAGTTCAAGAGCCACTGGTACTCGTGCGTGTGCGGTTACTCCTTCTTCATCGGCGAGTGCGGCAGGCCGATGGAGGTCGCCACCTGCCCGCAGTGCGCGAAGCCGATCGGCGGCCGGGACCACAACCCGACCACGAACAGCCTCGTCGACGAAGAGAAGGACCGGTCTCCCCACGGCTACATGCTGCCCGTCGCGGACAAGGACGAGAAGCACATCTCCTTCAGGGAGATCCCGGCCAGCTCGACCCGGGCGGTCCGGCTGCTGCTCCACGGCTGCATGTTCTGCGGCATCGCCGGCCACGTGGACGTGCACGAGCACCGGGTCCCCCGGATCTACGAGAACATCGTGAACCGGGACACCATGTGCACGATGTACGAGGGCGGCCATAAGGAGGGGATGTACATCGCCGATCATTTCGCCCACGACCTCGAGCAGATGACCGCGATCATGAGCAGCAACCCCGAGTGCCTCGTGATGGCGATGCACGCGCTGCTGACGAGGATGAGCGTGCAGTTGAAGGACGTGCCCAAGGGCAAGACTGGCGCCGCTGGCCAGGTCGCGTCCGGCAGCGCCGACGAGGTGAACTGGGAGAAGCTGGACCTGCCCAGCCGCAACGCCTGGGAGGAGACGATCGAAGCAACGTACCTGAACGAGATGGTCAAGAATTACGACACCAGCACGCAAGAGTTCCACGCGAGGTGGGGAGCCGGCGCCGCGGAGGACGGGAAGTTCGTGGCAGAGCTGATGGAGGCCGCGGACGTGCAGGGATTCCCGACGAAGAAGAGGGACCAGGAGTTTACCACCAGCCTGAAGCATGCCCCCGTCCCCGTGATTGGCATTCTTAGCGCTCAGCGTGTCACGCCGCTGGTTCTGCACCAGCACGCCTCGGCGCGATACGCCAGTCACTTCCGAGTCCCCGCGCATCAGAGGTCCGAGCTTTTCCCAGTCTCCTGCCACGCCGAGCGGAGCGACAAGCTGTCAGCTCGCAGGGCATAGCATGTCGCTTGGGCCGCCGTCGCGACATGCCAAGCAAAAAAGTTCCCGACCGTATCTCGGTGCCGATTTCGAGGATTGCCTCAGCTTCTGAAGGCACGCCCCCAAGATCGTCATCGCCCTTGGGCTCGTCCATCCTTGGGGATGTAGGGAGGAGGGTCGGGGCTGGCCAGGAGCTGCCGCAGTTGTGGGCCTTCCGATCCCCAGTGACGCTGGGCGCCCTCCACCAGCGGATCGGCATGCAGTCCGACGGGAAGAACGACCTGCCAGTGCTCACCACCGTGCTGCAGCAGCAGGTCTGGAAGGTGATGCGCGCCCTGCGCTGCCTGGTCGGCGTGTTTGACTGGCACGCGCTGGTCACCGGGGAGAAGAAGGGTGCCGATACCACTACCCGCCACCCTGCCGTCATCGGGGAGGCCGGATTCGCCTCGCAAGACTCGTTAGGATGCACCCCCGAAGAGATCCAGGGAGTAGCGGTACCGGTACCCTTTTGCTCCCTCAGGTCATGTCTGCCTTCAGCGGCCGCATCACCCGCGCTCAGGCGCAGGATTTGAGGGTCGGAGACGTCCTGGAGGGGCAGGTGCTCGAAGAAGATGGAACTTCATACAGTGCCGTTTTTTTTAATACATGCTCCGCGTGCGGATCGTGGATCCAAAATGCAGGGATTTAGTATTAAAAACAACGATGAATGCATGCATAGATTTGTTCATGCATTGGTCATGTATTTAAAACCCTATACTTTCAAAAACCCCAGGTGTCAAAAACTGCCCCTGTACAGCGAAACGGTGGGAGCCCCGCGCCGACCCACGAGGCCAGCGCGGAGCTCCAGAAGTCAACGCTTCTGTGGTGTGCTCTGTTCCGCCAGGCGCCCTCGGAGAGGGAGAAGTGGGAGCGGGCCTTCGAAGACCTCCAGAAGGCGTGGTCGATCGCGTGGTCCTCGGTCGAGCGGTACGAGTGCCAAGAGATCCCTCAGCACATGAAGAGCGTCAGCCTGACGCGGAACTCCGCGATGGTCTACTGCATCGCGGACCCACAGAACGAAGGCATATGTCCCCTGGCGTTGACGCAGTTCCTGGTGGAGCGCCACAACGAGCTTGTACAGGTTGTCAGCTCCGCGAACGGGTATCCTGTGAAGAAGGTGTCCACCAGGCTGCTTGCCCAGCACGACGTGGTCAATTACAACGGGAGTCAGTTGATGAAATTTCTGAAAAGCCGTTGTGTTACGTATGGAGTTGGTGGTAAGTTGAATTTTGCTTTCAAGCAGCTCGAACAGAAGTTACGTCGGGAGCTGTCCCGACCCGAGCTCACCATGGAGGTGCGCGGATTTAATTGGCTCGGCGAGTCTTTCGCGATTGGCAGCCAGTTGAGGACGGTGCTGCCCCAGCGGGACCTGGCCGCCGACGTTGTTGCACGAATCCGCGAAGAAGTGACAAGTCCCTCAGTGGCTAGCCAGATGGTCCAGGAGGTTCAGATCACAATTTCGTTTATTCTAAAGTCTGGAGTCGCTTTCGGAAAGAATGCGGGCAACACGTTCCTGGCAGAGTACTTCAAGTCTGTGTGTCTTCAGAACTCTGTGCAGTGCCTGCCCTCTAACACGGCCCGCGCCGAAGTCCAATTGCGCCACCTTGATTCGTTCATCAAGCTGCTGAAACAGATTATGAACAAGGACCCGATGGAGAATGTGGACGACAAGTACAAGGAGCCTTTGCCAGAGGAGATGAAGAAGGCCCTTCTTGCGGCCAAGCCCAATCTGCCAGCCATACTGATCCAGGTGCTCGCGACTTTCGCCGAGGCGCGCCTTGTGGAGACGTCTTTGAAGGACTCGGAGGGGATGCTGGAGATACTGGAGCACGCCCAGGACGAGTTCGCAGACGCTGGGACCCACGCTTTCAGAGCGGTGCAGCAGCATTTTCCGCAGAAGCTGCAGATGAAACACTGGGTCGCCGTGTACAATACGCTCAAACAGCCAAACGGCAAGCCGCTCGACACCGACGTGCTCTGAGGCCAGCTGTCCTGTCAGGAGCACTAGGCAGCGCGTCTCCCTTGCATCGGCACCTCGAATTGTAGCATCCAGATGTCACGCATCGTTTGAATGTCAAAGAGACGCTATCGCATTTTTTTGCCTATCCTACCTTGTTTCCTTTTCGCATGAAATCAAGACTAGGCCGGCTACGATCTCCTGTCCAGTCTGCTTCTTTAGCGCTTGCGAGTTGATGCCGTCATCGACACACGAGTGCATCCTTAGGACAGGCTTTCGTCAGTGCGGTCATGATTCGCTGATTCCGCTCCCCGGGAGTATAGTCCCTTGTAGCGCACCAGTTTTAGTTGATAACGGCTCAAGCCGTCGCAGTGAATCAGCCATCAATACCATTACCCAGTCAAGATCTAGTCTTGACCAATTCGACACCCCTTGTATGTGCATCACTTTCTCGACTCACGCGGGTGAGTCCTCACCGGTCACGTCGACAATTTGCCGGCAATGATCATTTAGTGATGGCACCAAGGGTGTGCACAGAGCTTCCATCGAAGCAAGAGAAACAACACAAACATGATCGATTGGCCTTCCATGCGGATGTCTTGGATTTGTGTTGGGCCCCCTTGGCGGCGCCTCTGGCGCCGCCCCTGACGCGCTCCGCGCGCCACGGAGGGAGGGTCCAGCGCAGATCCAAGAGCTCCTCGCGGAACGCCAAAAGTTTATGCTTGTGTCGGGGGTGGACAGAACCCCCACCCTGACACGTCGATTAGTGAATTGTCCGTTTTCGGTTGTCGTCATTTTCAAGGCTTGCGCCCGCCAGATTTGCGCCCGAGGCCGTCATTTTCCAGGCTTCCAGGCTTTTTCCAGGCTTGCGCCCGCCAGGTTTGGGCCCGAGGTCGTTTTCACTAAAACACGTTTTGCTAGAGGGGGTTCTGTCCATCCCCGATTGTTGCGTTCTTTCTCCTTCTGTTCCATCGGTCGGTTCTGATGTCCGCCTCGGCGGATGGTAGGCTTAAGTCGGGCACGTCCCTCCACAGGAGGATTATTCCGAAATAGTCAGAAAATAGTCTGGGGACTACTTTGTGACTATTTCTGATACTTGCTTGAACATCTTATGACTATTTCTGATTTGTTCGTCCAACATCCGCCTATAGGGGGGACATGCCCGACCTGATGGTAGGCTTGCTTTTTTTGCTGCTGCACCATCACATCTGTTGCACGGCGTCGCAGCAGGAGCAGGCTCGCAGCAGGAGCAGCGCCGCAACAGGCACAGAAGCCCTGAGCAGCGCGGCAGCAGCAACACATGGAGGCCTTACACGCAAGTCGGGCATGTCCCTCTGCAGGAGAAATCTTTTAAACATTGTCAAGATATAGTCGGGAAGCGATGCTTCGGCTATTCGATTATTTTCTATGTATCCAAAATCCGCCTGTAGGAGGGCACACCCGACCTCACCTTACAGACGTACACCTCCCGCTTGCGCGCGATCAGCATGGGCGCAGTGTGTAATGTGTATTCGTGCATGTGCTTGACGGAAAGCGCGCATCACATTCGATCAGTTAATCGGAGATGAATGTAGGGAGAGGTCGAGGGGTTTGGCATGTGTATTCCCAGGGATCTAATGACCAAAACGGCGATTTCGTTCGGGAATCGTCGAACAGCTGGAAATGTTTTGGGATCGCTCTCGGAAGGCCTCAAGAAGGCCCACCATAGCCCAACCATATAGCTCGAAGACGTTTTACTTCCGCCCAGAAATGACGGTTTCGCTGGGGACATCATCACACAAATGAGATGCTGTCGAGATCGCGCGTGCCCAAAATGGCGAGCTCACGTGGGACATCTTCACAAACATGAGATGTCGACGTCGTCATGGTCTCGGTCTTGGCCAACACTGTGATTTCGGTAGAGACGACTTCACAACAATGATATAGTGCCGACATCGCTCTTGCCCCATTCGCTAAGGACATCCTCACAAAAATGACGTCGCCTTGGTCTCGGGCTTTCCCAACATGGCGATTTCGCTGGGGAGATCCTTACGCAACGAGATGTTGTCGACACCGTCTTGGTATCGCTCTTGCCCCAAATGGCTATTCCGCGATGGACATCTTCAAAACAAACCAACCATTGCCGACGTGGTCTTCGAATCGTTTCAATACGGCCGTCGCGAGGCTGGCCAGGCGGATTCAAATGCACATGCGGGTCACACGGCCAGGCGAGATGAAACGGCCAGGCCGGTTCCAACGGCCTGGCGGGTTAGAACGGCCATGCAGGCTAACACGGCCAGGCGGCTTGAAACGGCCAGGCGGGTTAAACTGGCCGAGGATGCCAGCGCGGCCAGGCGATTGAAACAACCAGGAGGGTTAAAACGGCCAGGCGCATGAACGCGGACAAGCGGGTTCACACGACCAGGCGGGTTAAAACGGCCATGCGAGTAAAGACGGCACGGCGAGTCAAAGTTGCCAGGGTCAAAACGGTCACGCGGGTTGAGACGGCCCGGCGGGTTCAAATGGCCAGGCGATCCCGTTTTCGATTTGGTGCGCACGATCCAGATCCCTCCAATTCAGTGTTTGACAAGTCCGACTCCATTTTCCCGATCCGATGGTGGTTCTCTCGTGTATTACGTGCAGTGACGCTTGAGAGCGTTCTCATCTGTCCGCAGCAGGTCCATAGTCAATGTTCGAGCAAGGATGGCCATTCGTGTGCACACACACCTATAGATGCTGTATTCGTCTTCTGAATATGTGCGGAGTTTGATTGGCGTGTGTGTGTGTGTGCATGTCATCACTAGCAGCATCATATCACGTGAAGCGCCAGAGAACAAGTTACGACACCATGCTGTCAAGGCGACCCTTGGCCAATTCGACACCGCTTGCCTGTGCCTCATGTTTGGGTTCGCCTTACAGGGGTGAGCCACCGCCAATCAGATCGGCAGCGGACCGACCGTGACTGGAAGGTGAGGCCGCAAGCGTGTGCATATCAACCAGGTGTCTGTTGCTCTGGTGCTCGCGGATCTTGCGCGGTGCACACACTCGCCGTGACGGAAAGGCGACCCGAAGAGGAGGAGGGGGAGGAGGAGAAGGAGGAGGAGGAGGAGGGGAGAGGGAGGGAGAGGAGGAGATGGGATGAGAGGAGGAGGAGGAGGAGGAGAGGAGAGGAGGAGGAGAGGAGGGAGAGGCGGAGGAGGGGTCCCGAGGGACACGGGCCTGGGTCCCCAGGGGTTCCCGCAGGGCCAGCTCTGCATCCCGAGGCCGTGTTCGACGGTCCTGAGGGGCCCACGGACGCCCCCAGAGGCCCGAAGACGAAGAACATG